CTAGGGTATAGGTCTGCTGCAAAGATACACGATCCTGAATCACCATCCTCAATCCCCCTATATATCGGGACATATGTTTGGTTTCGCTCTTGTTTAAGTTGTTACGGGATGACAGTCGATAGAACTCCTGTGTGTACTCATCTACAGTTCTTCCACATTGCTTACAATTTTGGTATTGTCCAAATAAAACTTGTTCATAATCACTTGGCAAGAAATGAGCTCTCAGTAGTTTCTTCATCTTTTTCCATCTATTGACCTTCGGCTTTCCTTGACGAGATCGATTCAGACAAATAGATTCCCACCAAGATGAAGCTCCACCTTTGAATCGGCAGGCCACCAATTTTACATTACGCTCTTCTGGGATCTCCATATACTCAAAGAATCTCTCTCCTTCTACAATCCAGTTGAGGAATTCTTCGATATGAAGTTGCTTGTTGAAAGATGGCAGATTCATCTTTATCTTAAAACCTCCAGCGTCATAGTCATCCTTTCGTCGACAGTCTCTGCGATAAACACTGCGGCGTGGAGCTGCATAGTTATCTTCCTCGCTTTCGGATTCATCATATGGAGTCGGATCACGCCGTTGGCGACCATCAACGTGATTTTGAACTCCCGCCGTGTTCAGACGCTCTATTGTCACCGCAAGTCGCTCCATGACAGTCTTCATCTGATTAACATTGGTCTTTAGCACGTCGAACTTAGTTCGAGTAATAGAGGCTTCATCACCTGTCATTGGATCGGAGGGACAAGGCTCTGATACCAATTGACGCAGCACGAAAGTAGTAGCATCGGAATCCACCAAGGACAATCTTCGAATCTACGAAGAGCTTCGAATCCACGAAGTAAATATTGAAGAAAAAACAAAATTTTATTAATTAAAAGTTATGCATTTAGGGCTTATAAGACTCTACTTAAATAGAAAAAAAAGTCTTCTACAAGGACTCAAACTCCTACGAGGACTCAAACTTTACCAAAAATAGTAAAAGAATTCCTAAAATATTAAAACTCCTAAAAAGACTCCTTATGACTAGGAAAATCCACCGGTCAAATCTGAGATCAAATCGGATTTGTTTTCTAATCAATACAGACTCCTAAAACATTACTAAAAATAGTAAAAAACGAACAAAAATACAGAAATCTCTCAAACCGTAAGGAATTTGGTGAAACGAAGGAAGCAAACCGAACCCTTAAATATGTTTGTCGAGATAGTCGATTTTCGTATATAATTCGTCCAATTCGGATGTACGGTTTGAAAGTTATGGTCGTTTCTTCGTAACAAGTTAATTTTCCTTAAACATGTTTGTCGTCTCAATTGCTTTGTTTGGATGGGGGTGAGTGTGGGGTAGGAGAAGTAAGGAAAATAGATTCACCTCGTTTGGGAGGTTTTTTTAATTAATTTAAAGGAATGGAGTGAAAATAAAGTAACAAAATTTATATTTGTTAACCTTCGTTCTATATAATTTGGTTCCTCCCTGAATTGGGGTGGGGAGGAAATAAAATATTTTGAACAATCATGATACAAACCTAATGGCTAAGCAATGATTTCACTCTATACCTTTTACTAAACTCCTAAGCTTAATTATCACTTTTTTTTCTCCCTTTCCTTTCCTTTGATAGCTTTGCCTTACGTCCCCATCCCTTCTTTCCCTTCTCATCCAATTGGTAAACTTCCAAAAATAGCAATACGTTAAAAGTGAAGTTGCAAACTGTAACTAAATTAGTTGTAGCGATGAGGATGAATGGGGATAAAGTATCCACTAATCATTGATCTGTGTACGATGAATAGTGACCCTCAATTTTATTATTTTCCGTATAAAACATCATATAATTACTTCTGTTAGTTTATTTAAAAAAAATGAAAATATGTCACTTAGATGTTTTAGACATGCACAGAAATACTTGGTAAATAACTGCAATGTTTTAATTTAAAGTAATAAGCACCAAACGAAAGGCGTAGTTACTTTTCCAGTGTCTATACCAGACTTTGTTTATCATGTTAGAGCTAAAATTTTGAATTTCTCTTTTATCTTTTGAGAAAAAAGTGCATCTCATAGGACAACTATTGACGCCCTGTAGATGATATGTGTTATTGATATTTTGTATTTAGAGGGTTACTAGTGTCATATTTTTCCACTACAGTAATCCCGCTTTTTACTGTTACAGAGTTTTTGTGATTTGCTACAGTATCCTACTTCTGCTATAGTATTCCCGTGCGCTACAGTATTTGATTTAAACATGCACAGTTCCCAGCTTTATGTTTGCTATGGTAATGAGTCTACAGTATATGTTATTGTAGAATTTGCTGTAGCATGAATAGTAAATCTTGGGTTCTCTCATTTGTACAGAGAAGTAGATATCTGCCACAAAATACTCTCTAATTTGATATCAGTTAAACACACACTTTTTTGACAAATTCACTTTGTAATACCCCAAAATCCAAATATAATAAAACAATCATTTAAATATGTCTTTAGTATAAATTGCAATAGTAGTTTCAGAACAAAAACCAGTTCTTTTTTGGGGTTTTCAGATATTAGTCCCTTACATGTTGAATAATTACATATTGATCCCTCGTGAAATTGTATATAAGTCCCTTCAATCTTGAATAATTGCGTATTAGTCCCTTAATTATTGAAAATTGCATATTAGTTCCTTAATTCCTATAGGATATCGCAAAATGGTTCCTCAGTTAGTATTTTAGTTAAAAACTTAATTATGGTCCGGTTAACTCGTAATAAAAACTCTACGATCATCAAACTACCCCTCTCCGATTTTTCAATCTTTTGCGAAGCTCAAATTTAGGTAAGAGTTTTTTTTGCTAACCATTGGAGAAGAAAAGCTCAAATGAGTTTGGATTTATTTTATGCTGGTGTTGGGTTTAAACCTATTAAGAGATGAGTTAGAAAATATTGCAGAAGGTAAAATGGTCATTGTGCCTCGAACTGTTAAATTTGGCGGAATGTTTCCCCAAATCTAATGTGATTTAAAGGACCATTTTGCAAGACCCTATAGGATTTGAGGGACTAATATGCAATTTCCAAGACTAAGGGACCAATTTGCAATTATTGAAGATTTTAAGGGACTAATATGTAATTTTCAAGATTTGACATTTGAGGTCCTAATGCAATTATTGAAGGTACAAGGAACTAATATCTAAAAACCCTTTTTTTTTCAATTGCGGGCATTTGTGATAGGGAAAAAAATGCAAAATAGACCGTTTTTATGAAATATATAGCGAAATAGACCACTTTGATAAAAAATTAGCAAAATAGACCTCTTTTTGACCAATAGGCCAAAAAGAGGTCGATTTTAAAAAAGTGGGTTCAGGAAACATACGGGACTACTAGTCCCGTATGTTTAAAGTTAACTAATTCCAGTGGTTATCGAACTCAGAAAATATACGGGACTACTAGTCCCGTATATTTTCTGTGCCCTAGCAAAACGTACGGGACTAGTAGTCTCGTACGTTTTGCAGAGCCATTTAGCCACTTCCCAGCAAATCCACGGGACTACTAGTCCCGTGGAGTTGCTGGGCAGAGGGGCAACATGCACCAAACATGTATGGGCCTCATTTATCGATTACAATCAAAATTTTGGCCAAAAAGATATCATTTACAATATCACAATACAAATCTCATCATAGAGTACATCACCACACAACTCCGACACAATCAACAACATCACAACACAAATCCGACGGAATACACATCACATCCAAAATCTGACAAAAATACACATCACAAATCCATACGATAATATATATCAGTCTAAGCTAAACAAATCCAAATGTCTTAAGTCGACCCATACGATAATATGTAGTTTAAGATAAACAAATCCAAGGTCAATAAATCCATACGACAATATATATCTTAGTGGAAAAACTAACAAATAAAAAATCCACCCCTCCCCCGTTGTCTCTCTCTTCGCACTCGTTGAGATCGTCGGCGTACTCCTTCGACTTGAGCTTGAATATGCTCGCTCTCCGGTTGTGTGTGGGGCTGTGATGGACCGGCTTGCTGTGACGGACCGGCTTCATCGTCATGCGTGCAAGGTCTACCGCGTCTACGTCGGCGTACATATAGAGTATCGTCAAGATCCACCTGCTCACGACCTTCATGCCGATCCTCATAAGTTTGTTGAAAAGCTCTACGAACTCTCGCCACTATCCGATGCAATATCGATACATGTACTGAATCTCCTGTGGCGGTAGCTACTACAATTACATAAAAATATTGATATTAGAAACCATAAGCTAAGAAGAGATTGACATTCTATGATAATTTTGACAATTTAACTTACCCATCGTCTCTCATCTACCCCTCTTGGTACATATCGGGATTGTTGGGAGCGAATCTCGATTTCGTCGACTGGAGGCGTAGTTTGAGTGATTATCCAACGTCTGGTAATCCCCCAATACCATTTAATGTAATCAACTTCTTCCATCGGAGGATAAAGCTGATTTGAGTTGGTGCTCGGGAGAGAGAGAGGGAGATGGCGAGAGAAAGAAGCGAAGGGGAAAATGTGCCCTAATTTGAGTTATATACATATTCAGCAATTCTACGGGACTAGTAGTCCCGTAGAGCGCATTTCTTTCACGACAAATCCACAGGACTAGTAGTCTCGTGGATTTGCTGGGCAGTGGCTAAATGGCTCTGTAAAACGTACGGGACTATTAGTCCCGTACGTTTTGCTAGCGCACAGAAAATATACGGGACTAGTAGTCCCGTATATTTTCTGAGTTCGATAACCACCGGAATTAGTTAACTTTAAACATACGGGACTAGTAGTCCCATATGTTTCCTGAACCCACTTTTTCAAAATCGACCTCTTTTTGGCCTATTGGCCAAAAAGAGGTCTATGTTGCTAATTTTTTATCAAAATGGTCTATTTCGCTATATATTTTATAAAAACGGTCTATTTTTCATTTTCCCCCCTTTGTAATAAGCTCTCCCAAGGACATTATTAGGTAAAATCCCCAGGCTACTGTTGACCAAACACGTTTAACCTGCACCCGGCAGAGCTCAGGCTCATGATAGCATCACGCCCCCGTTTCCTAACTGAAGGCACGTCGTCTTGAGCTCCATCACGACGAAAGACCCCCTTCTCTCTCTCTCCGTCGTCGTCCAATTACAGACCCATAAACTGCGCCCCGTGGCTCACGTTAGAGCTATCCCTAATCTCCATATTCACCAGATCCCATATCTCATCGGTTCCACAATCAAATGCGTCCCTTTAGATTCTCATGCATCGCTCGGTGCTAACCTGCGCCGGCCGAAGGAAATAGTAGACATGGCGGACCGCCGCCGGATTCTGCGCCCGCGGCCGCCGAGGTGTGAGGGTTCGGCCGGGAGCTGCTGGCGGCGTGCATGACGTGTCCCCTCTGCAAGAAGCTCCTCAGAGACGCGACCACAATCTACGAGTGTCTTCACACGTGTGAGTTTCCTTTAATAAGATCTAGTTTTGTGATGTGGGTTTGTTTAAAATTTGAGTTTTGATATGTGGGTTTGCGTCAAAATTCGATCTTGGAGTTTGGATCAGTTGAAATATTCGTTTTGCCCCTTTTGCTATCTGCATGCAGGGTTGGCCTTTTTTGGATAAGAAACGAGGAAAAAGGTTTCACTATCATGTAATTCTATTCTGACCACGTTAAACTGTGACGCTTCATTTGGTCTTTCTATTTATAGAAGAACAGGGATGTCAATGTAAAATCATAATGAGGTTATGGCCCCCTTTCTCTGCAATATAAGTACCGATTGACATCTCTATTATCCAGTGGACTTGTAGATTAACATTATGATTCATGTATCGTCACCGTGGCTTTTATTAGTGATAAAGATCACCATACTTTGGTGATTGACTCGTTTGAAGCTCTTCATATTGATGGATGACCAACTTGTTCAATCATGTTGCAAGTCTGTATCCTTATTGCATGTTTTATTATGTGATGCTTAGTGATAAAGATGACAGGCTTCTTCATATTCCATTCCATGGATGGATGCTCAACTTGTTTAGTTATGTCGAAAGTTTGTGGCCTTATTGCATAATTGTGAACTGATCTACAAGTGAATACATGATTGATATCTTGCAACTTTGGCATTGGCAGTTGTGATGGAGTGAATTTTTGTTCAAAATCTAGCATTCCTTATGGTCTTGTCCTTATATCGACAATAATGCTGATTCTTTACCTGTTTGCAGTTTGCAGGAAATGCATTCTAGAGAAGCTAACAGATGAGGAGGTTGACTGCTGTCCAATATGCAATATTGATTTACAGGAAATGCATTCTAGAGAAGCTAACAGATGAGGAGGTTGACTGCTGTCCAATATGCAATATTGATTTAGGTTGTGTTCCAGTAGAAAAACTCAACAGATGAGGAGGTTGACTGCTGTCCAATATGCAATATTGATTTAGGTTGTGTTCCAGTAGAAAAACTCAGGTCAGCTTCCTGTCTTCATGATTCATTGTACCCTGGTGTTGTATGTACTGTAGCATTAATGAAATCAACGCTAGCCTAATATATGAACTGATTTAATGGGATTACATGCTATCAGCCAAGTTATAAATCTCTAGGAAAAACTATCTCCTGCTCCGTGAACTTATTTGTCAATAAAGTGCGCAAGTCTATTTTACATTGAACTACACTGTTGGGTTACTCATGTCTTGTTATTATCCACATAAAGTGGAGTGTAGTGTAGCCGCCAACTTCAGAAATTGTAGAATAACGGTACAAAAAGAGTGCATTAGTACTAATGGTAATGACGGTAGTAGATAGTAGGCACATGAAGAAGGATGAGAAAAGAAATTGATGTTCACAGAACCATTTCCTTTTTTCTTCTACGTTTAATTGTTTTGAGTGCTGGATTGGAATCATTTTATCTTAAGCTACAATCATGCATGATGCAGGACAAACTGGAAGATTAGATTTCATACATAGGATTAGTTAAATTGCTTAGGATTTTTGTTTTAAGGGTTTGTTTTTTCTTTTAGTGGAGATATTCTTAGGTAGTATATTTACGATTTTATAAAAAAGGTTACTCTTAGCTATATTTTCCTTGTGTTACCTGTAATGAGTTAACTGTTGTTAATCAGTTACATAATATTATACTATTATCTGAAAAAGTTAAAAAGCACATGCGTTAAGATTTAAACTTAACATTCAAAATGCTTGAAGACCTAAAAATAGTGTCCTGGATTTTTTTATTATGTTCTGGTTGCATGGCGTTTCATAATAAGTCAATTCCATGCAATCATAAATACTGGTTAGACAGATCAGTGAACAGATATATGGTATGGAATATCTCAATTATTACAGAAAACTAGTATTCTGGATATTTCTTGCTTATGCGCCTTGTGGCAGCTAAATGAATCTCAACAGAAAGTTTATTTGATTTAGTGTGAAGATACGTAAGATAGGCTCTGATTATAATGAGTTGCAAATGTGATTAGACCTGAAGTGCTGTTGAAATGTTTGGTGACTTAATTCTGTAGTTCAGTTTGATGGAAATTGGCAGCATACCTGTTTGGTTCCGTAACTAGGAAGATTTCTAATGGTGTGGACAGAAGGTGACATTTGATGTAAGGATTTGCGTTCAATTTTATGTCTCAGATGAAAATAAATTGAGCTAAGTCCTGTGAGCTTCTATTGATATGGATTAAAGTTTATGGAATAGTATTTATATCTAGAATCAACTCTTACGATTGATGCATTCCAGAGTGGCTTTACTATGTTGACAGGATGACAAAAACAAAACAGATAGACAGATTAAGGTCAAACTTGGGCAACTATTCACTTATAGCTTTACTATAGCTGCAGGCCAGTTTCAGATGATTTTTTGAGATTATATTATCACGTACCAGGTTAAGAATTTGTTTGAGGAAGAAAGTTAATTTGATATATGGTACCTAGCTGCATCGAATCATGAATGTCTACTGGGAAGAAGATACCAGATGGATCGATATGCCGAAGTATTATTATGATTATTATTATTATTTTGCCCTGTACGGGTGTGCAAAGTTTTTATATAATTTTTTCTGAACTAACATGAGGCAATATATGCTCTATACATATAACAAGCATGCTATCAAATCTTTTTATTTCCTATTTATGCTCTGTGACAAGTGTGATATGTGACAAGTGTGATATGCGTTGACATGACATTTTCTCTCCATCTTGCTACTTGAAGTATTGAGCTTGACATTTAGTTCTTCTTCTTATCATTCTATCTATTGTTTATGAACGGAATTTTTTGCTTTCATTCTCAATTGAAATGGTGTGACACTATGCGTACTTGCTGTTGATGCCAAACATTGACCAGCAACTCTTCACTTCTGTTGCCATATTGTAGTTAATTGATTTAAAGTCAATTATTCTGTCAGACTATGTTGTGTTATAGCACGCATTTGATGTATTACAGGCCAGATCACAGTTTACAAGATGTAAGAGCAAAGATTTTCCCCTTCAAAAGGAGAAAGGTCAATGCTCCTGAAGTTGCAGAGGCAATAACATTGCCTGTTAGAAGAAAGGAAAGATCACTTTCTTCAATAGTGGTCAATACTCCTCGAGTACCAACACACTCCGGGTTAACAGGAAGGAGAACGAAAGTTATGACGAGAAGGGCCTCTAGCTTACGTGGACGAAGCCCTCTTATTGATGAACCCATCAAGAAAGAAGGCAATAATGTTGATGATCATATAGAGAACTCAAGCTCGGCTGAAACTCTGATCAAGATGACCCAAAATAAGAGGCAGGTCAGTGAAACACTAGGAACCATTTTGGTTGGAAAAGAAAAGGGAATTAATATATGGGTTAATTTCACAAACCCCCCTTGACCAAAAAAAAAAAAACACAAAAAATAAAAGAAAAAAAAATAGAAAAAAAAACAGAATAGCACTGTCAACTCTAACGTGTCATGTGCCAAGCATGTGGCTTAAAAGACGAAAATATCCCTCGACCCTAAACAAGAAACTTTTGTTTCTTTTTTTTTTATTTCCACTAATTTGTTGATGACTGAGTGTATTTTTCGCCCTTCTTGTCATGTGCTTGTCACATGACACATTAGATTTCACGCTGTTCTTTGGGGGTTAAAAATGAAATATCATCTAGGGGTTTTAGTGGAATAAAAGAAGTTGAGGGGTTATATGCAAAACCACTCAAAGTTCTAGGGATTTGTGAAATTAAAATAGTTAAAGGGATTATATGCAAACCCTCCTAAAGTTCCAGGGGTTCTTTGAAAGTTTATCTTGATTTTACTTTGCCATACGTTGCTTGATCTTTACAGGGTTCTTCTAATGCTGAGCCATCAAATGAAACAATTAATAGCGATTTAGAGAACGGCGGAGAAAGCTTCAGTGATAAACCTGATCTTTGGAAACCTCTAAATTGTTTGGTTGAAGCAGCCAATAGAACAAGGGGTCTCAAGTCAGGTCCACCAAGTCCAGTTATTAAGGCAGAACAAAGCAATGATCATGATAATGAAGTTGATTTGCGTAAAGGCAAGATGAAGGATTATCCAAAAAAATTGAGAGTTCTTGGTGACAAGAATGTCGATGGCAGTGGGCCCATTCCGCCAGCTGTCAAGACTAGAAGAAGACGGAGAAGGAGAGATCTTGGAACCTCCACTCAGGCTCTGATTGATGCTGCACTTGCCACACGAGCAAGGAGGATTTGTCCAATATGGCTTTCCTTAGTTCCGTCGTCTGACCCGTAAGTTCATTCCCTTTTCTCAGTAACGAGTAGGGACATTTTATTTTATAGATTTTTTCTATATATACCCCTAAGTCACGCATTTTTTCAAAACTACCCCCAAATCTTAGCATTTGCAAAACTACCGTCCAAATCATCAACTTTGGAAAAAGAATATCCTCAACTCTACAAATCATCAACTTTGTTGGATATGGTGAGTAAAATTTTGACTATCTTGTTGATATTTTTATATTGCAGTTCCAAACTAGCCTATCAAAGTTGATGTTTTGAGGGTATTTTCTCCAAAGTTGGCGATTTGGTCTTTTTAACTTTTTTTATTTTTTTTTATTTTTGCGGATACTATGATTTAACGTTTAAGAGTACATATACAAAAAATCAACACTTACTTTTTCTAATAATCTTTTTTTGTGGCTTCAGGCAAAGGGATCTAACACTGCCTCAAAATTCTGCCTGCTACTTAAGAATTAAGTGAGTTCTCTTGTGTCAAGTTCAGCATTTTGTGGTTTTCTTCTTAACTTTGTTTTTCAAAAATTTTGGAAACAGAAATTTTTTGTCTACTGCATGTATAGATATACTGATATAGGAGTTACTAATTAGTGCATTCATCTAGTGGTTAGCCTATACTTGAACAATAAATTGTTTTCTTGTTTAAGCTTGACTGATAAGCCCCATTTATCACTTGCAAGATACAGTTAGGACCAAGCAGTTGTTGTCTGAGTAATTTCACATTTGTCATAATGAATTTTAAATATGTTATTTAGTTGTTGTTTTTAAAAATTTTTCTAGGAAGAGATTTACTAGTTGATTATTCTTCCAGCAACAATTTGGTGATTGTTTTAACTGCAAGGGTGACAATAAATTGGCGTTCTTATATCTTGAAACATCGTACCAAAAACATTTTTGAATTTTGCAGCTGTCTATTAACTTGGTGCAACTCTCCGTAAATTTGTCATGCATGTATGTGTTTTGTTATCATACATTCTGTAGCTATTTGTAATATGTGCATACTAATTAACCATTTTGTTTATTTCTTTTTATTGTAGAGACGGCAATCTACCAGTTTCTTTTATCCAAAAGTACCTCGTGAAGAAATTTAGTCTTTCGAATGAAACTGAGGTGAGTATCTAATTCCCTGCAGTGTCAAAGATTTTCTTAGTTCAGTTTTTGGATTATGACCATAATCTCATGAAAACTAGATGCAATGCCTTTATGTTGCGACTTGATCATTAATAAGCGTAAGTAAATTGATATAAAACTTCCTATATCCAGATGCACTAATGACATGTAAGGAATTAAATGCTATACCTGAATATACAAAAAAAAAAATGATTCAATATGTAGCAGAAATCACAAATCTAATGTTCATTGATTGCTGCTAACCCTGTTTAATTTACTCACCTTCATTTGGTAAACTATCTCTTGACCTTTATGAACTTAAATCAAGAACTCTGTTGCTAAAGATATTGATTAGCGCCAATCACATTGCAGCGAGAGTAATAATTTTTCTTCTATACAAGTCCTCAACATTCCTATTGTCACGCCCCGATAGCGCAGCGGAAATTCATAAATACGGGTTACATGACAGCAGCGACCCGTGCACGAGACGTGACAAGTCTTATGCTCGAGTCAAGCCTGACACTTCATATCACATAGTTTATCTTAAAATATTCATAAACTTGCTGATGATAGAAGTTTAGAGCTACTATATATATGTATATAATCGGTACTTACAACCCACAAGCTCACCGTTATAAACATTTTACAAAATAAAGCACATTGTTGATTGTATGTAACATCAAAAAGGAGGCTTTTCATATAGCGCCTCTCAGCAAAACGGCATAACCAAAAGTTCGGCTACTATGTAGCTACGTCAGACCTGAAAAATTTAAAAACAACGGGGTGAGCTAGAGCTCAGTGAGAACATTTCTCACTAGAGTTCCTAAATAACTAACAAAATAATAATAAGGATAATTCCCAGAAATAACTAAATTGTATGTTTTGCACCAGAAATTCAAAACTAGCAAAATACGATCCAAATATCATAATATTGTCATCTTCAAGAAAGAATGCAACAACTATATTTTCTTTCTTATGTGCATCTGAATATATTGTGATATTTTCTAGAATCAACCCTTTTTAAATCAGGGTCAACATTAATAAAGAAAAAGAACTACTAATTTTTACAAAACCAGAGGATTATTATTTTCTTAATTTCACAGTCAATTGTCAGAATCTTAATTCTCGATGACTTATTCGTGAATGTGAAAGTCACCTCATAGGTTACACTAAGTCTACGAATTATAGCCTAGTAGCATGGAAAGGCGTAAAACGCATCACATAACAGATAATTCTCCGGAATCGAATACACCTATCACTGTCATAGGTTATTGGCCAAATACAGAGGGGTCATAACAGATTTCAGAAGGGCCAATACAGAAGGGCCAAATAAAGGTGTATTCACCATATGACAGACATAATCACTCCATAGTGGACTTTTGAGGATTTGAAAACATCAAGAATTACTTATCAATTTAGAAGTACCTTGCTTATCAGAATTTGCAAATATTTTCAAATGAAGTGGACGAGGGTAAAACTCATCATCCCAATTAAAACAGTTTACGGATTTTACTTTCCTCTACTTTTATTAGATACTAAGCCACAGAAAATCTTTGAATCCATTAAATTGTCGAAACATGTTTAAACTATTTCTTTTCTTCAAAAGCTTTCAAATAAAGCAATACCCACAATTATTTGAAATTGCATGAGAATCAAATTCACTTTTCATAGTTCATATAAAATCAAATTGATTTTTCATATTTTATACGAAATCAACATCGTATTATGGCTTGGGCCATAACAGAAGTAGATCAAATCACCTTTAACTTTATATACATAAAAATGATATATTATTTATTTTTCGATCACAAGATAAATAAAAAATAATACTCATGCAATTTCATATTGTAAAATACTAGTGAGAAATGAACTCACCTCTAGTGGACACGAATTCCCTAAAATATTATTCCCATGAATATCAACCAGATCCTATAATATAAGATATAAGACTAATTATTAATTCATGACAAACATATATTATAGGTAAATCAATTTATAATCTAGAGCCAACTAAATTCAAATATAATCAATAATAATTAAAATCTATAGTACAAATGAGCTATTTGCTAACTTTAGCAATTTATCGAAATTTTATAACTCTCATATACTAACTTCTGGACTTCCTAATAATTTATGATAAGGCAGGGGTTATAGGGAATTTATCAAGCCTAAAAATTGACTTTTATTCTTCAGTTTGGATTTGTTTGCAAACAGAGTAAATGACAGGGTTTATATGCAGTTATCCTGTTCATATATGATCCTAGATTTCTATGTTGGGTTTATTTACAAATCTTTGTGGCTTTTAGGGACTTAGAATGATTTCTTAGGTCACAGATCTCCACTTAAGAGGGTTTATAAGCAAAGTTAAAATAACTTAGGGGGTTTTGATAAAAATTTCTCCCTTTATTTATTTATTTTTCTACACCTGATCATATTCCTTCTTCATTCTTCATTTCTTTTCTCTTTTTTTTCTTCCGTTCCTCCTTTCTCTCTCTCTCTCTCTCTCTCTTTTTTCAGCTGGACATTCTAAGGCCTCTCTCTCTCGCGACGCCGACAACTAGGAGCGACCGGCGG